ATTAGCTGTTTCACTTAATGATAGCGCGGAATAATAAACAATTTGGTGTGAGTTTTGTGGAAGAGCAGAATATGTTGTGAAGTTTGAAGTTAGTAGACCTTTTGGGGAGGGGAAGGGTGTTAATTTCAAGACGTTTCTCCACGATGGATAAATTTATGGAAATATATGCTCTAGTAACTTTGGATTGGAGAAAATCTGAGATTTAGGTGAATTGTCGCCAATATTTACATCGACTTCCTTCAAGCTTTTTCCAAAAGTTCGTTTTTATTTCCCTTTTTGTTAGCTTAGATCTACATTACTACGTAAACAGTACGGGTAAACTGTGTATACATCTCTATGAATACCGTTTCTATTACTTAAAAAGTGGTTATTAAGGAGTTAAATGTAACTAGGTAAAGGATAACATCTCCGCAGGTTCAGTAAGCTAAACATTCTGATCGCCATTATTATTACTACTACTACTCCTGACCGAAGCTGCTACCTTGACGCGGTGGTTGGGCTTGCCTATCGTGATGACCCATCCGAGCTATATTGGCTGGAAGATATGTTCCTGTAGGTTCTACCATGCCAGGCAGGTCGATTGGAGAACGGTAAGACTAAAAGCAGCAACTCGAGGTCTGAGGGCTGTCGTACTGCTGACTGTAGAGGGGTGTGACAGCAGTAAGGTGTTTTCCTCAGACAACCAGCATCTGCAGTGATGCTGCCTTGCCACGAGGAGGGGTGGGGTTAGAAAAGGTCGACCCTAAAAATGTCACACCTCACCTTACCTCACGGACTTCCGTCTCCGGCGGTAAGGCCCCTTGAAGAACGGAGCTAACACATTAAAAACCTTCCACGAAAAGGCCGTGTGCGACCAGCCTCAAGCAGTTGTCCCTTGGGCTCTGCGGTCACGCTCCAGGTCGGTAAGACCAACACTAATCCAATTTCCTTTTCAGGTGCACTACGGGATTTGAATAGACCACTGCATCTCTGTGCTAATGTGGTGTGGCAACTCGAACTGATGTACGTACGTACGAAGTTCTACGTTGTTACTGACTGACTTCCCATTATTGCTAACTCCATAGTATTAATTTGGACACAATACTCACAAAAATATATTTCGAAGCAAAATGTTTGATTCATAGGTTTTGTTGATACTGAAATATACACATGACAACTATAACTAGAGAGGAACAGTACCCATTCTAACAGAATGGTTTACTAAAGAAAAGCTTATGTTCCATCTTTAACTACTTGGGCTCTTATTTCGAAGTAATTTTTAAACTTATTTGGGATGTGTCGGTGTGTATCTAGTAACAATTTAGTTGGTAGTTCATAAAAAGTTATTGTATTTAACTTTTGAAGTGCTTTTCCGTTAGATTTTGAATATCACACATCTTATGCATTCATTATAACGTTCTTACAAAGACAGGGTCGCTTTTCAGTTGAAAAGTTTAGTCTAAACACCTTAGACCATATATTTGCTATGCACATGTATAATAATAACATATATTTTAATTTATACTTAATACTATATATTTATTGTGTTGTTCTGGGGCATTTAACTACAACTGGACCTCAGTGTGACGTTACAAATGCGGACGTTTTGTCGGTATTATTGTCTTTACTTTAAAAAATGAGTATGCATCCTAATCAGATAATTTTTAGTGAATGTTTTTCTCTTATTTGATGTTTTTAACTAAAACTGAGAGAACCTCATCAATTTTTAGGACTGACTAATTCACCGACTGGCTTTGTGTCCTCTTGTTATTAGCTCCACTGTAGTTTATGTTCAGTAATATAAGCTATGGACCGGTCGTTGGAAATCTCGATTCAAATCCTCGAACCTAGATACTTATATATACAAGCTATACGTGCAAACATTATCCATAGTACGCCACTTCGTCATTAAACCCAAGCTTTGTACTTTTTTTGTAAATAATAATTATTTAGTTGCATTTCTGAAGTTTTTTCAGAGGTATTCTTGTCGATTCTTCACTAAGCCGTGAATCATTCCAATTCTTGTGTTGATTGAAGTCATTAAAGTTTAGGTAAGTAACCTATATACGTGTACCTTAATTTCGGCTGATCATCTCATTATAGCCCAAAAAGGAATAGGAATAAGCAGTACAATAAGTCAATTAATTCGAATGGACAGAATGAATGAGAGAAAATAAAAAGCAGACTCTAGAAAATCGGAGTTCCGCTACTCGCGCGTTAACCACGCACTTGGCATCTGAGGGGAAAAATAAATGGTCGACATGCTTTGGATACTAATTGGCTGAGACGGCTATTGTAGTTTGTTTATATAAACTAAGAATTTTGACCTGCAGACAACACTGTACATTATATAGCATTTGGAAATCAGGTTTTTACTTTTATGTTTTTAATCAAAATGCTGACAGTTTCGGGCAGAAAACGTTATTTGACCTTTAAAATCGTGAAATCATCACTGTGGTTTACCTAATTTCACAGTCTTTTGTTTAGTTCAATCCAATCCCATTCACATTTAGCAGAGTCTTCCTAAAAATCGTTAGTATTTCACTCGTCTATAAACTTTAGTGGTAATCCTAGAACTGTTTGATTTTATTTGCGTTGTTTTTTCTTTTTTAGTACACTTGCTGTCTACTAATAAGATACTACAGTTTATCTGCTCCTGAAACATTTCTTCACCAACGATTCTCGGAAAAATCATGGATGGGACAAAAAGTGAGAACGAACAAGATGAACTCGAAAATAGTGAACACTATAGTAATAGAGATGCTGACGAAATATATGAAAATCACGCTGTCGAAACACCAAATGTCGACCAGAAGGATTTCGACGGAAATGCCGAGAACGGAAAACACCATAATGTTTCAGATACCACAGTACATGATAATATTTCACATAAATGCATCGATAACGCCAAACAAGAGGATATAATTCCTCACACAAATGAGTCAGCAAATGTCTCAAACGAACTTGCGTCGTGCACAAATATGTCTGATAAGAAAAGTGATACTGATAGTTTGCCTATCAATTTTTATAGCGAGCCCAAGGATAGTGTGACAGTTCATATAAACACGGAATATGGAGTCTCACTGGAAATCTTTTTGGTCCCTGAAAAATTTCTCATTATGGACCTTAAGATATTACTGGTTAAAGACACGGGTATAAATCATGAAAACTTATTGCTCTATTACAATGGTGAAGTGGCAAACACCGATACCACACTCATTACATTGGCAAATGAAAATAGGTTGTTATATTTTACTCTTTCTCTTGGGAACGCTGTAGATTACTTTAAAATAAAGTTAGGATTTCGTGAAATATTTTTAACGTCTGGTCTTGTTATCAAAATCATTGGGAGAAAGATTGCTGTCACAAAAGATCCTCACAGTCAAGAAAATATAATGCTAGTACCTAAGAAAGACGGAACAAACAAAGATGCTGAAAATATTCACATACATTGGTTACCATACGATCATCATAAACCATTTCTTGGAGGATACAAGAATACAATTACCAGCTGCATATATCACAATGCATCTTCACAAACTAAACCTATACGAAGAAAAAAGTTGGAAGCCGCACAAACATCCAGAGATACACAAACATATAGGATGCATCATTTCGGAAGCATGACAGTAAATCAAATGTCCACCCAATTCCCGAAGCCTGGATTTTTTGTTGCCAACAGTCAGGACAGAGTACAAACCCCTGGACCATATGAGACAGCAGATGAATATCTTGCCAGAGTACTAACAAAAGTAAGATGACTTTCAAATTCACTTATGATGAGACAGTCAATCGATTGACAATTACGTAACAAAATAAAGACTTGACGGTGTTAGCATTTACAGAATTTGTCTGTCAGTTAGAGCAAATATAACACGTTGCACAACCTATCGTACTTTATCCACACATCTCTAACTACTTATCATCGTAATCAAATTATTTCTTTAGGTTTTTGACGAAGCATTTTATACAAGAGAATTACATCTGCAATATTTGCTATCCACCTTCACCGTCATTCAGATATGGATATACTGATGCATATATCTTAGAGAAACGTAGAACTACATAATAACCTAGGAATTTAAATATGCAATAGGAAATATTGTATCTGGATACATTGGTGAGATTTGGAGGTAAAGTTGGGGATAATAAACCATAAATTGATATATCTAGATACCCTTCTTTGAATTTAAACTCATACACCAATAGTGCTGCTTGATTATATAGCTAATTTCCATGGCTTTATTAGTTGGCCAACACCAATTCCTTGTAGTTTGATTCCTGTAGATGCTTTTATAATTACAATGTAGCTTCAGGTTTGGACACTAAAATTGGTGAAGGTATACCTAATTACTAGTCGTTGATACGAATAAAACCTCAACTCCAGATTTCCATTTATTAAAGTAACCCGTAGTAGAATTCGTTTTACTTTCAAACATATTTAAGAATCCTAATAATTGAGCAAAGGTGTACAGTATACCTCAATTAACCTATGGGTATCTGCTAAACAATTCTTTTTGAAATCTACAGACTGAAACAAATAAATAGGTAGAATTTCGGGTTATTATTTCAGAAAGTTAACAATCAGATTTTTAAACAATTTACAAGCCGCTTATTCAATTCTCTGCATTTGTATCTTTTCATTAAAACTTGGTAATAGACTCTAGTTTTACCGTTACTCAATCGATACTTCCTTAACAAATAAATAACTTCATTTGGACGTAGTTACTATTAGTGCAAGGTTTCACTTGTGTACTGAATCGAAGGATATATGTAATAAATAGACTAACTAAAAATAACTAGGATTTCTTGAGGGGGTAATCATATACAGACAAAAATAGCGTGGTATATGTATACGTACAACTAAAGCCTTCTGACGGATATAAGTAATAACAATCAGCTAGTCAAAAGTCCTCGGATATTTGTCACAGAATACAGTTGTGACCATCTTATAATCAAGAATTATTATGACAGTAATCCAGATTTGAATGAATTAGTGTACTTGAGTTCACGGAATTTAAAACCTGAACTTACATAAGTAAATGTCATGAAATATTCATAAATAAACCAACACAGATTATCGGAGTGGATGTTGAATTTTGTTGTGAAAACATATTCGCAATATTATAGAGGTTAGAACCTAATCTAGACCAACGTTTTTCAGTACAGGAATCAGAAATGGTGCCACTGTTATGGTTGCGTCTTGAACGACATTCTGCAGAGCTTGGTTTTATGCCAGAAATGTGTGATCTCCTAACCACTTGATTACAGGGAGATGCAGTCGCTGATATTCAGTGTCGACTAATTGCTAAACACTGTCATTATTGACAGATTTTCCAGTACGAAATCGAACTGTTGGATGGAAATCAATATTGAGATATAAAACTTTAGGCATCTTATTTATGGTGGTTTGGTCAGTAGAAATGTTAGAAATTATTAACATACTTAACAATAGAAAACCTACTTTTAAATTACATGCCCCAACCTTATTCTTCGTTCGTTACATTTTTAGAAATATTTACAACTATTTACTGGTAAAACAATGAGACGATTGTTAACCTATCAATATACTCGACTAACAAACGGAATAGTTGCTCACTAAGTGCACTTATATGACATGAGCAAACAGATATCAGAATAAAAAACGATATTCACGTAACTGGAATACACGATTAAGGATATGAAACGACCGTATGCTAACAAAATACCCCACTAGCAAACGAATAACTGATAAAATTCGGAGTAACTATGTACACAGCGGTCAAAATTTTACTAGTCGTATTCTAAATAATTTGGAAGTATATTCAAGTGTAATGCATTTTTATTTCCGAAATAATAATGAGAAACAATTTGAAGCTTATTTTGCTATACAACTGCGGCTATAAGGTGTTCTATTTATTCATAAACATTTTCGAAATATAAGAATTTATCTTAAAAGAATAAGACATCTTTTTTAATTCCCTTTTGTAGATTATAATCATTCAAAAGTATTTACGCCGATGGCTTGCAAAAAGAAAAGTAGAGCGTCTTAAAAAAATAAGGGATGATTACATTGCTTGGGAAAAATCACAATCTGAAAAATACAAAAATGAGGTTGCTAGAAGAATCGCACATGATTTTGAGCGAAGGCTTCATCCTAAAACTGTGACTGATTTTGATCGATTATATAACGCTTTAGAATTGTGGCGTAAAGAAGAAGTAGGTAAAATAGAAGAAAAAAACTTAACGGAAGCAGAAAAGAAAGCAGCTCTAGCGTTGCTTTTGGATGAAGAGGCAGAATTGATATCAGTTATAAATAAACATCAAATAAATAGAAGCAAGGAAGTTGCTGAAAACAATCAATCTCATTGTCTAAAAAAGGCTTCAGCTCCTCATCGTTGGATATCCTCAGTCAATGGAAGAATAACTGAAGTAGCCACAGCTGAAACGATTCGTGCAAAGGAATTGCTGGATATTTATGAAAGTTTAGGTTTAGAAAATCTAACACATAATGAAAGGCTAGATATACTTCTGACACTGAAACAAACAGTGAGCTCATGCAATACAAAGATTTCTAAGGAGATAATGGGATTGGTTGACAGAGAGGCAGAACTAATTATGCGTGATATTCCAGGTAAAATTTTATCCGGACTGAGACAAAGGATTCGCAACAGATTCGTGCAGTTTGCAAAATCACCACAAGTTAATCCGGAAGTAGGTAAGTACCTTACAGTACCAACAAACGTAAAAGAAACAACTGTACCCTTGTTAGTAGATGACATCCAATACTGTATCTCTTGTCAAAGATACTTAAAGAAGAACTTATTCCCACTCAGCTCACGAGCGAACAAACTATCCCAATGTAAATCATGTAGAAGAAGTGATAATCGGGGACGTGAGAGATTAGATCTTGAACCATATCAATATATTCTGACAGAACTAAGACAAAATGAGACTAGACTTGTAGAAAAGATGAGAAGAGTGGCAATAGAAAACGCACGAGAGGAAGAATTACAGAGGTTAGAGCGAGGTGAGTCTCCAAGACCGGAAACAGATGCCATTATTGACGGGACACATGAAGAGACTGTATGTGTAAATCCACTGCCTTTCTTAATCGATAAAGAAGACATACGATTTTTAATCGACCAAATTTGGGAAAGTCGCTCGGTTTTATCAGGTTGGACAAATCTATTTGATTTGACACTGACTCGATGGGATATTAATGAACCATGGTCACCGTGGAATACTATAGTTGTTACCAGAGAAGAAGCTGAAATTCATGAAAATTTAAGTAAACTTAAAGTAGAAGAAACTTACGCAGATCCTTTGATTAATTTGGTGAACCAACGACTCATATTGGGTAAAAACGAGTTTATAAAATTATATAGAAACGGTCTTAGAATGACTAAAGAACTATTAGTAAATAATAAACCAAAAGAGAATCGAAAAAACACATCGGAAGTATGCCAGAAGTTAACACATTTACGAACTCAAGCACAAATACATTCAGTTCAGTCTTATGAATCCCCATGTAAATCACCAAAGGTAGAAATTTCTACTAAAAATAAGGCATTTAAAACCTAAATCCATCGAGAATATAATAAAGTATACTGCAATTCATTGGTCAAAAGAAATGATGCCAATAGAAAATCACATTATTTCAATATTTTTATATACTAATACATTGGTTCAGAAAATCTTAAATAGTTCATGTAGAACGAAAATACCATTGATAAGTAGTCACTATTTTGTGTTAAATGAAAAAGGTCTGCAAATAATTTATCTTTATATAAATATACAATATCTGGTTATTTAATGTAGTTAAACATGAACATGCATATATGATTTTATTTTGGTTGAATTTAAAAATTTCTTAAATATTTCGCCTAATTTTGAAAGATTGTTTCAACAGTTTTATGAAAACTTAAAACTGTAATTTAATTAATACTGCTATACGTATTGATAAAAATGTAGGTAAATATAATTCAAAACAGCACAGTATTTTGACTGAATTTGCATTCTTTTTACATTTATACGTCGGGGGATCAGAAAGATGAAAACTAAAGCCGTAAAGATAATAATACTTATAGTAATTAGAAGCTGAGGATAAGAAATAATGCCCAAAAAAGCAAATTAAACAGTTTAGTGAATCAAACACAGATTTAAGATTTAGCAAAGAACAAGTGCACATGCACCAACTTTTCTTAAACTAAGTCATGTAGTCTTCAAATAGTGAGTAAGGTTATCTTATGGGCTTCAAACAGATAATCTGAAGCTCCATAAACGACTCATATCAGCAGTTAATTAATTCATGAAGTAACGCCATGTACTGACTTGGATATTTTTAAAAACTGATTTCTGACTTATTTTCAAAACACTTCAAGAAAATATTTCCTGAAACACACGTAAGAATGTTTATAGTAGCACGAAGTGCTTTATCGTTACGAACGTATCATATCACAGATGAAATATAGGAATTACCTGAGCTTTTATAAACTTGTTCAGATAAGATTTTAGTTTGAAATATACTGCTTTCAGGTGATCTCAAGTTGGAAAGAATAAATAAAAAAACGAACAACCTTTATTCACACTAATATCAAAGTCCGACTTTAAAACTTATACAATTCTATAAATATTTTGTAATATTCCAGATTAATGGACTCTGATATTCTTCCAAAAGCTTCAGTCTAAAAAATGGCCGAAGTAGTTTATACAAAAGTAGTGTACGTGATGTCTCATTCTACGAGTCGAGCTTAGAGTTTTGTATGAAAGTTAATAGAAAACGTTTAACACAAGTAGTTAATATACTAATTGGGATACTTAACTGTCACCCTAAATCTAGTTATTATATTTTTGTCAAATCTGAAGTTACCTTCTGTTACAAAACAACAGTTGGAGGGCCATTGCAAATCAGTAACCATTGGAGAGCCCGTTTATTCTGTTTACTGACTTCTCAGCGATGCAAAGACTCGAGATTGGACCCAAGTCTTTCGGTTTCACAGCAAGTACTACTTCACGGCTCCATAGTACATATTTACAACCTAGGTCAGTTTATAGTATTGCAGGACAATTGTCCAACATCATTCGTGATATCTGTTTCACTCTCAACAAAGTTAAACTACATAGATCACCGGGAATCTATCTCGGAACTAACCACAATTATTATTAACATACAGGGTTTGTGAAAATTTCATCTCAAACTGAATACAGCGAAGGAATTATTAAAAACTACTAATCACAATTACTAAAACAATTGTCTAGTGCTCCTTGGTCTCTGATGATTTTTCAGTTAAGTTCATAATGGGAGCTAACTCCAGGAGGAGATATTATATTGACTTAACTTGAAAATTACATTTTAAGATAACTACGCCATTATTCTGTAATATTCATTGTGAATGAATATGAATTTTCAGTAAAGTATTAAGCATAGATTTGCAATGAGGCATCGGAAAAATTCTTATTATCTAAACCGAGTACATACAGTAGAATTATAATTACTTTTCTTTTCAAAAAAAGGAAAATTAACAAGTACAGAAAAGATGTAATAATCCCATTATATACTGAATAATTTCTGTTCCACCAAGTTTTGACTCTCCATAAAATCGATCTACAAATGTAATTCCAACCTAGAATTGAAAGAAAATTATTTTTAAAATAAAATTCAAACTAATGTGTACAAGTAGACATACCTCACCAATTTTGTAACCAAGTGAAGAGGCTAATACTATCATTTCCATTTGAAAAACATAACCACGTGAAGTACAACGCGAAACTAAATCTTGTAAAACTGCTTTTTTGTATAGTCTAAAAAGCAAACAGTGAAATAAATGAATTTATATGTATTCAATACGTTTGGTTGGATATTCTAAAGAATCATTCGAGATAATATTTACACAAAAAGCACTAAACCTACTACATCTGTCTATATTTATGAGATAGTTTTGAAACCACCAGAGAGCACTAGTCTTCTCAAACTTACACGTTTGCCTTACTGAAAAGTACATAATAACATGAAACCTAAGTCGAGGGTTTATTATTGAGTCGCTTAGACACTAGTGGTCACAGTGCAACTTGGTCAACATCATGCGGTCGGCAAAAAAGAATTAGACAATTATGATATTGGTTACTACTAGGTGTTTAATCAATTGAGTGACTTACCTTTCATTTCAACAAATAGTCAGTTGTCAAAATCAGTAATAAAGACACCTACTTCTTCAACTGTGTATACATAACTAGTTTCTAGTTTCAGATTTGCTTTAATTAACTAATTTTGCAAGTTGACCGCACTACTTGTATACATTTTTGATCGTGCTTACCCTTCGAAGAATTGAGATACAGTTTTTGCTATATTAAAACTAATGACAAATTTATTAAACTTAAATGGCGAAATAGATTGAGGGGATGTTCTGAGGTGATAACTTACGACCAGACGTGATGTTTTGGACAACAATTTAGCCATGCGTGTTTTGTTCTTTTTCGCACGAATAACGTCAAACGAGCTGTGGAAAACGTCTAACATTTATCCAGAGCAGTATGATTGGAATTAAATGAATATTATTAATAGGGGGAGAACAGCGAGTAAAAGATGACATTTATGCTGCAAATAGCAGTGTGTAAGAATTTTTACATTGTCAGTTCATTGCTACATCTGGATTTTATGGTCTTTATTTTTCCAAAGACAGTAAACACTTTCTTGAGAGACTTTGATTTCATATTTACACTCTGCACTATTAGACCCTAACAGAAAGAACGCAGAAAACCTTCGATAATAATATTTACTAACTATCATCTTAAATCATGCCCTATATACAAACCCATTACCCTGAATTTATAAACGAACGAGATTAAAATGAAAACAATCATTCATATGTTTTGGGAAACAAATAGTTATCTAATTAATATGATTATGCAGCTATTCATATAATCGTTTCAAGTATATACGATGAATGATTAGGAATGAAGAATATGTACGCTAATTTACCTAAAACTTCCAGTTAAATCGGATGCTTTCGGTCGTAGTAATACTTGAGCTATGTAGTTTGCCGTACGGCTGGAAAAAAAACAAATAGGTGAACAAATAAATTGATCGTAACTTTTACAAAACATTACTATTTTGTTTTAAAAACATATAAAATATAAGACCTGCAGTTTGCTCTGATAACATATTCATTTGTAATTAGTTATTCAATCAATGGTTAAAATATACTTTCATGCGAAAAACAATTATACTGCAATTAAATTTTTGGGAAGCACTTGAAATTTCAACTAACTTTTGAAATGTGAATTAGTGTTTATGAATGAAACTTGAGTTACCAATACATGTGGAACATATAGTGAACAAAAAAACCCATGGGTCTGAAAAGCTTACTCGATGTGTTACAAACGCTACTTGGAACAACGTTCCAGTTCTAAGAACAACCCATTACCGAAAGTATTGATCCAATTACTAAGACATGTAATTTGACCTTAAATGATTGTACAATTTGACGGAATAATTCAGTAGGCATAGAAGAGTCTTTTGTATAAAAAAACCTATTTACGCCGCAATCTTATCCCATATTATTTGAGAAGTAAATTACAATTGACCTAACTCTGATTTTTAAACTTATCATAAACACGGAATATATTTAACAGATTAATAAAGACGATTTGAGTGAATAACACACTTTCACTGTTATTTTGATTGAAACTTCATTGGCTGTACTGACTATACAGTACGAGACTGATTTTAAATTAAGTGAAAGCTATGATATTATCAAAAGGTTCAACTGTGTTGTGAGCTACGTAGGATTATAAGGATTGAGAGAACATGAGATTAAAAATTTCTGAAAATACAGCATCACTAACCATTAAACATTAAATAATGGAATTTATCTTGAGAAGGCGAATTTTTGTGGCTCAGGTGGATGTTTTGAAGTCTTAGTTTTCTGAGCTGAATCGTGGTCATCAGGTAGACCATTCTCCTTTTACTTTTCTCATCTTTTTCTACATAACATTGGATAGCTGATTAGTAGTCTGCATGTTACATTTGCTAAGGGTTTTACTGACGAAAACATTCTGGGAGGAGACGAAGTTTTTCTTTAATAGAAGCCTTTCTCTTTGCAATTCATCCACTTCAGAGAACAAAAATTCACCAAAATCCAATTCACTATTTAGCATAGTATTCATGCTGAAGAAATACTGCATATTCAGAGACTTTTTTCATACATGATTCACTAATCCAATAACTTTTTGTGTCTCATATAAATAACACGAAAGCAAATATCTTTCAAAAATGAACTTTAGTTTCCGATAGGCTAATTTGAAGATAGATTACACGGAAAAATGACCTATTTTACTAAAGTAATCCAAATTATCCATATATTCTGTGAATTAGATGGAAAAATATAGTACTTGTTGGAGGGAACATCGTTTATATTAGTGTCCTAAAGCACAAACGTAATTATCAACTGTAATTATGTATTATTAACAATGTCAATAGTATTTTTCGACTTATGATTTTGTATAACTTTGAATACGGTGAAAAAATGTTAAGATACTTTACACAAACCTAAGAGGAGATAGCTTGATAATTTTATCCCTTGCGAAAAATTCGAACTCATTTCTGTCCAGATTAAAGAAAGTCGATAGTTATTGAAACAAGCAGATTTATTATCTGTTCTAGCCTTTACAGATTATTCTTCTACGTATGAGTGCAGGCTAATTTAAGAATCAAAGAATACAATTGCTCATATAGTAGTGAAAGGAAACTCAGGTAGAGAAAACCATTGCAAAATTACAGAGTGTCATTGTAAAACACGAAAGCCATACATTAAATACATCGTTTGCATCTTTCTTCAGTTGTCCTGTACGTGTTTCGTGATTCTTCCGATTCTGTTGTTATTATAATTGCTCTCTACTTCCATTTCTGATCTCTTCAATTCAGTCTTCTGCTGGCAGGCATTCTACTTCTGATTGGTGCTACATACTACTTATATCTGTCAGCATAAGTAGCATACTTTACAATATAACCAGTTACTTGAGCATAAAACATCACAGTAACTATACGCAGAGCACATAATCGTAAAAGCTATCAAGAAACATCACAAGGTACGCATGGAAAAAGCTGGCTCATCAGTTTAAGTATTACTTACACTAACTTTAATTTCATTTGATGCGTATGAGTTGGCATTCAGTTGTATAATCATTTTTAAACTTTATCAAATATTTGCAGACTTCAAGATATTATCACTTAAGAATGACGAAATTCGCAAAATATTACTCACTTATTAACAAAAATAATGAATAGTAAGTGTGTGATGCACACCTGTTTATTCATTTCTACGTAGATGACACTAACTGGTCGGATAATTTGGAGCATTCTGGTTATATCATATGTGCGAATGATCTTTGAAACAACATAAAGTGATCAATGAAGTTCATAAATAATGGAAAATTGTAAAGCAGTCAATAGAAGGAATTATTTGGTGTTACTAGATCCATTTTTATTCGGCACATAAAAACTAACCTGATAAGTTTACGCTTCAAATCCCAGCCACTTACACCTCCGTTAGATGCATATCGTGTCCCAGTAACAATATCGTAATCATGTTGCTTTTGTAATCTTTATTTTATTTAATGTAGTTAACTTGAAAGATACATACTTAATGAACTCAGGAATAAATTTTGGCTGAAATCATAGAAAAAGGTTAAAAGACAAAAATCAATAGGGAATAAGCTTAATGGAAAGTTGAAAATGATAAAGCTATATATATGGATACCATTGTGACATCGCAGTTCAAACAACCACACTGCTCTTTCTGGAGTGAAACCATTAGTTTCCTTTCTTAGATGTTTCAGATATAGACAGTACGCATCTTCTATAGCAGTATTCTCAAAAACGCAAAATTCTAACTAGGGAACTAAAACCCTGACTATCTAACTGAGATGCAAAAATATAAGTCAATTCGGCTATTTATTTACAAACAAGAGTTTTATGGTCGAATCAACAGACCAAATGTATTTTTATAACCCGGAAAGTCGACGGAGCTTAGGAATTTTCAATAACGCTATGAGAAGCGTAAATTTATAGCTCAACAAGATCACTACTAACCACATAGATCCAAATAACGAAGTGGGTTCATAGGAAGATATTTTTATGATTCAGTTCAATAACAGAAGCACATACATCACGTGACTACATTACGACCGGCGGATAGGTATAATAAATTAGTAAGATATAAGTCTAGTTTAAACCTACGTGGTGTGATAAATCCGCGTCCATAATGATAACAAAATCACCTTTTGCAAACTTCAAACCATGCAAGTAAGCTGAACCTATATTAAAAGTTTGCTGAATATCATTTAAAGTGAATCAACCTACCTAGTCCTAATTTTCCACTTCTTGGTTTAAGAATCTGAACAACGTTACAGCGATTAAGTTCTACTCACTATTTTATTTCCTCCAAAAATAGATTGTAACTTTTTAGCAACTTCGCCTGTCCCATCTGGACTGTTGTCGTCAACGATTATTAGTTCGTAGGGAAAGCCACTGTAGATACATATTTAAATAAAGTATCAGTATATTTACGTTAATAATACAAATATCATATAATTCTGGAAATCATTATCCACTGGCAATAAACAGTCGGCCACAACACATCCCGAGAAAGCTGTCCTGGGTTTCAACGTATACGGACAAAATATAACATTAAAGTGTTCTTTAAAACTAATTTGCCACGAGCATTGATGCCAGAAAAACGAAATAGAAAAGCAACACACCGGTTCATACACAAAGACGAGCATGAAACAAACGTGTACACAACAACACGACGTTCAAGATCAAATGAGGTAATCGACTTTATACCATACCGTGGAGTTTGTAATCAAACTACGTGGATCAGGACAATGATCAAGAACGATATGTGAGACATCGTAGTCAAGTTATATGAAATTGCTTAATGCTCCCTGAGTAGACTCATGCAGCCAAATAAAAGCTTGTAACTCATTCAATATGACTATCAATAGAGATGTTTCTCCGCAATGACCATATTCTTTAGTTATATTTACGTTTACAAAACATATGAATTCAGTCTTGATTTAAACACTGCCTGTTCGGAGTTTCTGAATCACCACAAATTATGAGAATTTTAAATATCAAGAAACTGCCGGATATGACTGTTTTCAGCTGTCGGATGAAAAATAATGCTTTGAAACTGATTTTCACTCATTCGTAACTTAACATCAAGAGAATGATTCTGTATATTAACTACTGCAATTTAACAGCCTCGGCATTTTTATAAAAACTTCTCTAACTTTATTTTTCTCTAATATTGAACTTATTTCAGGGTGATTGAGATTATACGGATCCAAGGTGGTCATGAAAGTGAAAACTGTTAGTAGAATTTTCACTTTTAGACCTAAGACATCAATGCGCCGAATTAACTTACACTTTCGCTAGCTGGAAAATTTTTTGTCAAATAGGCATTTGAATATAGAAGGGAGTAAATACAATAAGTTAACCCATTCACCAGGTAATTGGGTTGAGGCCACTCTAAAGGGAAAGTTAATGATACTGTTGTTTTACAAAGACTTATATAGTGCCTTTACTTACTTTTGGATGATTTTCCAGAATAAGTATCAGAGTAAGGTTAACTAGGAGCATATTATCTGCTAAGATAAAATCCATAAAAAACCAACCTCTAAAGGGTTTATTTAAATGAATATGTTCATTTCATTATCTTAAATGTCGATGTTTCTTCCGAACCGTTGTGAAGGAGTTACTTAGTTGCAATAAATTAATTATGAAATCTTAATCAATTTTATGATTCTGGCACTTACGTCTAGCAGTCACTTACATATGATGATGCACCTTACACTAAACATGGAAAAGTTTCCCACAGAATGCGTTTGCAGCCGCTAATTAGAAAATCATATTGAAAAACTATCGTCGGAATTTTAACCTGCATTGACTCAATTAAGATTTTTAAACAACTGGAGATGCTACAAATGGTATTCTAAGCACACCACTGGGAATAGTTACGCCATAAGATTTTGAAAGTGGTTTGAGAGAATTGGTTCTCCACCAAAGATACTGAGCACCCTGTCATTGTGATCTACATTCGCTTAAGAACGGTTTTGTCAACAGCCCAGGTATCAGTGTTTATAACCGTTGGACAACAAAGACATCAAAATTAACCTGAATGTAGACTCAGGAAAAAAATTTGTTCCTGAAAATCACGCTATAGTTCTATAATGAACTTTCCTCTGTTGCGTGATACGGTCGGTTTTAGCATACATCGAAATTTTTTCCCATGCAAAAATGTAAAGTACCTTAGAATGAACTGGCTTTTTTACTTGAATTATCTGAATGATCACAGTACGCAACAGGAGTAGGGATGCCACTAGGCTACCGAAAACTGTCGGGTCTTTAGTAGGCACTTGACCCTTGTTTAAACAAAAGGTGATTATCTAATGAAACCTGGAAAAAACGAAGGCGAACACTAATCTAGTGTACAACTTGTGGCCTGCGTGCCCTGTTAATGTATAACATAATGATACCACCAATTAGAGAACAGTATATTATCAATCAGACCAAGGACGCATAAAACCCGTGAGAGCAATCTAGAGTACTTATCGGTCCTGCTTCCTACCTAGCCCAGCCAGTTAAGCCCAGAACACCAATTTCAGCCTCTGAGATATGAATCACGTATTTCAATTTAAATAAAGCCAGGACAAATATTGATGCAGAATAATATGAATTCACTATATTTTGTGGTTTCTCGTCAGCTGCTTACAACCAAATATGTGTTAGAATTTTACATTGAGATAAGAAATAGTATGGAACAACTGACATAAGTGAATGTAAAGGATTGGAATAACAACTGTTATCAAAGTATTTCATTTATATCATGTGCTTCAAACATACTGGGTTTACATACCAACCAAACAGATCACATCGTTCCATAAAATAGAAAACAACATTTGTACAAACTCTAGCCAAATGTGGCTGTGAATAAGGGAGACAGTAATTGATAGACAGGTCATAACTCAAGAATGGTAAGTCGTATAATAATATTTCACAGGTCAAAATGAAGCTCATAATAAGACGAACATGAATATGAATAGTTTAGTCACTTAACAATTATACGATAAAATGTAAGTATAGTATTGGTTCATAAATGGACTCCAAAAGTTAGCATTCAATATTTTATTCGGGATATAACATTCAGAAAGGTTAGTAACGATTAGTGAGGTACTCAACATAGCTTAGACACAATACTCAATTCCGATAACAGTTTTGTTGGAATAGCATCAAACAGCTATTTTAAAACCTGCAGAGTGATACATACAGTTCACAGACACCAGATACTATTTAGTAGATGTGAGCCGGGAGTTCTTAATCCAAGGCGTGTCAACAGCTTTACATTTTAAGGCCCTGGATAAAACTACCGTTGCAGAATAGTACTCCCACCAGTGCAATCAGGATATTAATCAAATCATACTTATTATTATAGAAGTGAATATAAGACTAAACGTAACACTGTACATTGAAAAATAAATAATATGAGACCAAGAGCGTTCTCACGCCACATATCCAAAGATCTTTGAGAGAGAATAAATACTAAAGAACATAAACCGTGTGAAATGAGTGAATTAAAACTCCACTGGTGTGAACCTTTATATTCTCAGTTACGAAGATTATTTTACAACTTATCACACGATATAGTGACTTGAAAGTCCGACAAGTCCAGTTTCAGTAACGAACTACTCACCTCTTATTCATAACCTCATCAATGATCCATGTAATGATGGGGAGATTTTCCTTTTCATTGTAGGTGGGCAGAATGATTGAGTATAACGTCATCCTCAAGGCCAAAAATTGAAATTGTGTTAAATCCTTAAGGTCAATTCAATAAACAGTATCTTTGTTACGAACTTGAACAAACCAATTGGTTTCTTTGTACTCCCTTCCTGTTGCCTTCATACGATTCCAAATATTTGATAATATTTAATGGGTAGTAGTTCAGTCGGACGCATTAATTCTAATCCGTGTTGTAATCATTTATGGATTTTTTTCTTCGTAAGGTTTATTCTTCGCGATTAATAAGCAACCGCAAACCTGAAAACGAAGATATTGTTATCGCATCCATATCATTTGAGGAGGATGTAAGTAGCACGCCGGCAAATATAAGGCAACTTCTTCCAGTGACAGCTGGTGGATTTGCTAATCATACTCTTCATGATTGTATATTAAGCAACAAGTTATATTAATCCCGCAGGGTTGACTCCCACGTGTAACGTCTCGTGAACTAAGACAGTGTTGCCAACGACGCCAATCGCTATCCATCTTGGATGACTGCATCATGTTTGCTGGTCGCGTGGTAGTTGCAAATAACCTAATCCCACTCCCCTTTCAACAACTGAGCACAGCTCATCCAAGCATTGGTATAAGCTGTATATTTTAGCCCAACATTTACAGGCACACCGAAGGTTTATTGCATGCTTTCTTTAATTGGTTCAGCAACACTACTTGACAAGCATCTTGTCTGTAAATGAATGTTTTAAATTAGTGATCATGCCTGTAAAATTGTAGCGTACCTGCTCTGCAAGAAATATATCATCACGGGGAGTGGCGTTAGCCATCATGTAACGTAAGCCTTCACACCATTACAATTTAGGCGTGTCCAGAAAACCTAACCCGTTACATCACACAACCGCTAAGTCTCTGCGTCTGATAACTATGAACTTCGGAAACAGAGAGGATATAACTTAGGCCCTTCAGGTTTGATCTAGTTCGAAAAGTGACTTCCTCTGCCACATCAGGTACCAAAGCCGACCCAGATCAGTAAGGCGACAGTATAAATGCCCGATAAAACGCCTTGGTGTCAGTTGATCCTGAACAACGGAACACGGTACCGAGCACAGAGGTCACAGTCCCGCTAATGCGACACGCTATGAATTGGGAAAAAACCAGTCTTCATGGAACTGAACAACACGCTTTAAACAATAATCTGTTTAAAAAGTGGAATGCCGTTTTTGAGAAGCGCCAAGTGATGAGACCAACCATCAAGTGCTTCTATGGAAGTGTATGGGGACTATGGTATAAACTGGGAACAATCAGATATGTGATCTCTCAGTCACGTTCGGAGATCACAGTCCTCAGTGAAAGATGGCTGTCGACCGACATTATAGATGAAGAAGTGAGCATGGAAGACATGACGCTTTCCACAGTACGAGAAACAGGAGGTAGAGTGGCGGCATATATTAACAACAACTTCAAAGACTCAGTACCACAGAGTTCCTCTAACACAGTGCCTCATGTATTTCTCCTAGCAAAGGTTGCAAATATACGTTCCCACTTTTTGCTTAGACAACTTGATGTAATCACTCCTGAGTTGTTCCCAATACTGTTTAAAACGTACTACCGGTCCCACTATGAAATGCAAAATGTCGTTGCTCACTTTGTCACAAGAGATATAAACCTCATGGACCAAGTAGAGACAAAAAATGAAGTAAGTTGAAGAACAAATTTCACAAAGGAAGATACGAATACTTGAGATTATTCCAACAGCTACAGGAGAAAAAATGATGGTCTGATAATTACATAAATCAAACTAGGTACGTAAAGTCAACCAAACACAAACAAATTAACAGGAATTCATTACGCTACTCGAGGCAACCCTCGAAAAATTAATAATCAAAGAGTAGAAGTCCCAATACGCTGCCAATTTCCCTCATAATGAGTTACCCCTATTTGAAATGCAATCTCAGCTGAATTTACCACAGCCTCCTCGGGTAAATGGCTCTGTGAGGGACTTAACGAACCATTACCCTTTAAGACCAATTGTGCCTGACCCACCTCTCATAAATTGCTAAGGTTGTCGTCACTGTATATAACTCAATACTTCCAAACTCACTCAATTTCAGTAGACCAAGTCATGCACAACACCAACCACGCCCTACACGTCACCCTAAATCCTATGTCTTCAGTCTTCAGTAATAAGGATGGGAGGTCTATCAACCTATATCATCCTTGTAGTTTGTAGCACTACGGAGGTCCAATCTAGATTTGAATACATCAAGAGAAGGTGCTGATATTACATGTTCCGGTAGGGAATTTTAGTAATTCACTACTTGGTTCGAGAAACGAAACTCCATACGTAGACGATTTGATCTCGGTTTTAGAACTTTCTTGGAACGTCCCCTCAAATGGTCATTTTAGACGGAATGGAAAGATGAGACATATTATTAGCAAGGTCATCATTCAGTATATGATAAGTCAGTATTAGGTCAACCCGTATTCTACGCTTTGGCAGCGGAAATAAGTTGGGATGTCTCAGCCTGTCTTCATAAGATAGGTCAGATAGGTCTTTTACCATCTTAGTCCCTCTTCGTTGGCCTCGTTCCAGAATATTCGTCCTGCATTTGAAACAAGGATTCGCTGCTTGAGTCCCATTTTCTAAACGCGGTCTCACGAAGGTCGAGCACAGTAATCTTGACATTACCTCAAAAGACCTACGAACAAACCATAATAACCTTTTTCAGCAACAACCTTATAGTTGTTCGTAGTTTTAAGATCACTGCCTAGTATGACTCTTAAGTTTTTAAAGTTCGCGTATTGTGTAGTGGTACGAATCATCACAGTCATCTAATTGCATCAATACAGTCTTGTTAGAATTTACTTCTAGTGACCACCTGTCAGTCCATGCCAACACTGAGCTGAGATCATCCTGCAATACTATTCTATCTGACATACTGTTTGTGGGTCTCCAAATCTTTATGTCATCGGAGAAGGTTAGAATGGATGGTTTCGCTACGGTTGGTAGTTCACTTACATAAAGTAAATAGTGAAGAGGACCGAGGATAATGTCCTGGGGAACTCCACTTTTACAGGTTCCCACGATGAGAGAGCTCCATTTACACTTACCGTTTGCCTACTATCATGGAGAAAGTCAATTACCCAGTTTATGACCGTATAAAGGATCCCAAGAATATTCCGGTTAGCAATATCCTCGTTCGCATGGTTGATTACCAAGTCCAACAGCGAAGAACCTTGGTTTGCACCAAAACTTGTGGGTTTGGATATATACTGTACTAATGCATGCTCCATTACTGTTATCAAGAATTTACTATCAAAGGAGTTTATAGATCCTTCGGTGGTCACCTCAGTTCAACTAATGTCAGTTACTTTAAAGTCTCTTAATATCAAGCATCTGTTATTTGCACTCCACAGCTGGATGTTCTCTAAAATAAAGTCATCAGCTAAGCAGACTGGACTATGATAGATGACACTAAGTATAAATGTACAACATCTGATGTTGAGCTCACAGCTAATGACTTCAAAGATTCCACTACCATGGAGTTCGCAAACAGAGGAGCGGATATTTATATTATTGGTTATGTATATCATTTTTCTTTCCAGATCTTTTTCATCAATCAGGATAGCCACACCAGGACTATTTTGAAAAGTGACGGTTTTATCCGGATCTTCGATTTTCACTGGAGATGAATGACTACCAATGTCAGTATCAAGTGGCGCTTTGCTCATCGTTAGTTATAATAGAGATCTCACTTTTCCGTCGAACACTCGGGTGTTTAACGCGTCTCGTAACGGCAGTTACTATACTGACACATTCTTCACCATCAGTACTCGAGATACCAGCACAACCGCCATGTTTCTTCCTACGAGCCAAAGCTAATAGGCTCATAGCCTCCCGGATTAGTAACGTCTTATTTGTGCAGCAAAATATGCAGAGCCAATGAGAGTTAGGCTTCGAGCATCTTTTGTATGAGATGGGACTTAAACGGATACACATCTTATGGAACCACTTTTTACACTCCATGGACTGCATTCCTTCCTCCACGGGGAATTAAAAGTTTGACTGTTCACATTTCTAGTTACTGTCAACCACTGTAATCAGATTAAGAAGGTTTAAAACACAAAATGATCACAGTGTGAACACAAGTGTAAGAGCCTGAAGATGACACAGGTATTCAGTGTTTGACAATGCTTCTACCAGTAACACCTAATATAATTCGTAACCATCCAGAGAAATCAAAAGACAGAGTCGAGGAGATCGGAAGAGTGTATTTGGCGATAACCAATATACCGGAATTCTCTGATCTAATCTGGCTAGCGATTGCGGTAGATGTTGAGCACAGCGTTACCACACGTGATCTGGTGCGGATGCCTGACCGAGCGCCTTCAGCTAAAACATATGGTCAGCATCCAATGTCGAAAACTTACAGAGCTATTTATTTTGGGGATTTATTTACCGCTACAAGCCAATAAGAAACATGGTATCACAAGACAAATTTCAGCAAAATTTCAAACCTTGATCAAAACAATTCAAGCTAAAGTGGACCAGGAATGCTTTTCGATGCAACAAGTGCACAAAAGCAGGGATCATCACAAATACTAAGTCATTGCCTCCTTCCTCTAATTGTTTCAAATCAGTCTTGTTAAACAGTACCAAATAACTAACTTATTTATACCTGTTTCGAAAAAACCATGGTTGAAGTTACACAAAGTGTTTTAGACGGAAGATTTAGATTTTAAATGTTTTGTTTTATTTAGTCTTTTGTTGGGGTCCTGGATTGAGCGCTCCAAATGCCTGATCTTTTCCACTGTTTTTGATTGGTGAGTATGAAACCACGTGAAATGCTCCACTTATAGTGTTTTCTTTTCATTTTTCCTACATATTCCCTCGAATGCTACGTACGTTTTTAGTGAAACTCGGGCTGCTATTTGAACCTGTTCGTATTCAATGTGGTAGTTTGATATTATACTTCATG